TTTGTAGCTGAGAGATTATTTCTGTTCTGATTTTTTCTATAGCATTATGGAGTTGTTTCTTTACCTCTGTTGCTATAACTTCAGTGATTTCATGTGTGTGACTTCCCAATTCTTCTATGTCCTTGTCTCTTAAACTTGGTTTGGGTGGGTTAGAGGTCTGAAATTACCTTTTGCTCTTTTGTTTTGACATTTTGAAAGATCCCAAAGTTCACCAGGGCTCAGGGCCACTTTCTGGAACTCCACCTGTCTTTCACATTAGTGTTGGGGCAGGCCAAAGCTCAGCAAAGCTCCTGCATTGATGTGGGGGTGAGGCATAGGTCATGAGACTTCCTAGGCTGTCCAGGCCAGCCCCCTGCGATGGGGGTGGTGGTGGCATTGAAGCTCTGCTGTGTCCCTTTATTGTTGGGGTATGGGGCGCAGATCAGTGAGGCCTCCGCGATGGTGGCGGGAAAGGGCACAGATCAGCAAGGGTCCTGCAAAGTTAGGGGCATGGCGTGCAGTCCAGCTATGCCCACACAATAGTGGGAGCAGAGCAGGTCCCATAAACTTCCCCGAAGATGTTTGGAGTTTGGTGCAGCCTTTGCAATGGTGTGGGGGTGAGCTGCAGCTCAACAAGTGTCCCATGACTATGAGGGCTTCGGTAGCATCTCAGCAAGGCTCTGTTGCCATTAGGGGGTAGGGTGAGGCTCAAAGAGGCTCCATTGATAATGGGGTCCTGAAGCACTGGTGCCTCTGAAACTGTCTGGAGTTCATTGTGATTTCTGTGATGGAGGGGGCCTGGACAGCAGCTCAGCTAGGTTCCTGTAACAGTGTCTTTTTTAATGTAGGCATTTGTTATAAACTCCCCTCTTAGTACCTAAGTATTTTCTTTAACCACATTGGCAGACTTATTAGAAATCAATAACTGAAGAAAAGTTTAAAATTCACAATTTTGTGTAAATTCAGTAACACATTCCTAGATAATCAGTGGGTCAAAGGAATCTCAAAATGTGAAAATAGTTAGATATTAATGAGTAAAATAGCACTAAGTAGGAGAGAAACATATACTTGTTAAAAACTTGTATTAAAGAAAGTCCAGGGATATAGTTTAGTGGCACAAGCACCTTCCTGACAAGTGCAAGTTCCTGGGTTTGATTCCGGGTACTGGAAATACTTTTAAAATTTTAAAAATTAAAAGAAAGACCCAAAATTTATAACTTAACCTTTCATGTTAAATAAGTAAAACACAAGCAATCTAAACCCAAAGCAAACAAGAAAAGATATAACAAAAAAAGAATAGGAAAATAATAGAGAAAATTATTGAAACCAAAGGTAATTTCTTTGTAAAGATTAACATAATGGACAATTCTTTAGTTACACTTATTCAAGACTCAAATTCCTGACCTTAGAAAAATAAAAAGGAAGTGTAACAAAATTCTAGTTGATTTTATATTGTAGGAAATTCAGTATTACTTCTCAGAGTAATGATTTTGATTGTGTGAAACAAAAATGCCTGTCAGGAAAAATAATAACAGGTTTTTCTTAGTTTTACAGTATAAAAGTTGTACTGAGTTAGCTCCTACCTCATTTGTTTTCTTTAT